TATGAACGCTTAATCTTGAGCAACATTGGTGGGGGCTGCGGATAGGGTCGGCCGTTTGGCGTATAGACTGGTGCTGTTTGAAGTACCCGGTACCGTAAAAGTGGACAAACAGACGATGTACAGACAGACAGACAGACAGACAGACAGACAGATTAAATTTTTGCATTGAAGGTCCCCAAGAGAGACTATTGTCTTTAATAAACGGAATGAAATGAAAGATACCGGGGTACCGGAGGAGCACGCCATGCGTATCCATTCTCGGCGGGGGCAGTGTTGCTCTGTCAGTCGAATCGTGAGCTGATGGAATCGGCCGCCTCGTTTTCAGGAGGACTGAAAGTGTGTGGCCTTGGTATTGCTGGTACGGCGTAGCATCCACATAAGTCACAAGGGTCGACTGATTGATATGTGGGGTTGAACGTCCCAAAACCACCATAAGATTATGAGAGACGCCGTTGTGGAGGGCTCTGGAAATTTCGACCACCTGGAGTTCTTTAACGCTGCACCCAAATCTGAGCCCACGGGCCTACAACATATCCGCCTCCATTGGAAGTGCAGCCGCCGCAGCCGGGATTCGAACCCGCGACCTGCGCGTCAGATGACGAGTATAAGTCACGAGGGTTGCCGTCTGAACTTACGCCTGAGTGGGGAAGCTCGCGCTGCTCTACCGGAGGTGCGTGACTAAAGATTAATAGAAAGTTATCGCACTGGCTAAATAGCAGTGTGAAATCTTAGTAATGTGACAGATGCTTCAGAAGCAAATACTTGATTCCGTGTTCTGATTTATAAAGTGTACAGAGATAAGAACAAAGTAGTTGCCCTAAAACCAGAAAATTTGATTACGCTTAGGCAAAAAATTGACACAAGGCAAGCGTAATCACAGATTTTCAAGTGTGTAAACTTTGGCAATTTGGTAGGACATAACTGATTGTTGAAAATGAGCGCTCTTTTGAATCCTTGTTTTTGCTTCCGTAGTTACGTTGTAACTACTTCTAGGTTGCGCTGTTCGTATATTCAGTTAAAAACAGCGTGCTTAGGGAGGCATCCATGCGGCTGTGGACATCAAACAGAATAACCATGATGTTTCTTACGATTAAAAAGATGTAAATGAGGTGGAGGAAACTTCGGTGAAACAACAAACGATGTCTGTATCAGTGTTTTCTGCTCACCTATACTCACAGGCTGGTTAAAAGGAGTAAAGATCGTGGTTACCTTAGAAAAGTGCATTTGAGCGCTTGTTCGTACAAAAACAAATACTTTTAAACAACAATTCTTATTAACCTAACGACTTCCATGACAGTCAAAGCATTCAGCGGTAATATAACCGCACGTTTAGAGCAAAAGGGCGCTTTCACCACTGCCCAACGTAACATGGGGTATTTCAAAGCACTTGGCCTTGTTAGGCGTTACAAGACTCTCATATTTTCTCAAAACTTCCTGTTTCTGCGCGTCACGACGCGCAGCGTAAATATTATGCATGACGTTGCCATGATGCGACACGTAAGTAATACGCCACTCGTATGATGCAAACAGGTATAAGTAGGCTGGCACATAACCACAAAATCGAGTGCTTACTGCAGTTCCGCAGAGACCATCACTCGAGCACTACCGGCTTACTTGCACTTCACCTCTAGTTCACATTAGCGATTAACACTCACCACGCGACGGGATGAAGATGTTGCTTTGGTTACAAAGCGACGACTTCGGCTCAGTCGCTCCCCACTGGATTTTTCTGTCGCGTGAATGCGGCCACACGCACCAGCTTCTAAAACCAAAACAGCCTATCTCAAGACCCTGGACACACAAAAAGATCTTCAATAGCAATAGTTGGCATACTTTAAATAGTGTCCACAGCAGCAAAAAAACAAGAAAATAACAGTAATCAATACGTTCTTGTTATCTCGTTTTTATTGTAAACACGACAACGTCGCAACAAGTGATTTTTCGAAAGGTATGACACTTCATTGTAACATTCCAGCATACCACGAACATCTTCACTATACCGGTGTGTTACTGAGGCAGTTTTGTGTGCGGTGCAATATTGTGCTAAACTGCATAGAGGACATGCTCTTATTGAATGATTTCTGATTTGTTTTGATGAGCAATACTCACCTTAGTTTAAATGATATACGTGTGGGTGTCACTTGAAATATTTGATCACGTTGCTGCTTTGGTACCGAAATGTGGCCGCGAAGTTTTATCATGTCACAACGAAACCACTGATATATCATCATCATCATCATCGTCATCAACCTGACTACGTCCACTGCAGGACAAAGGCCTCTCCCATGTTCCTTCAGTTAACCCGGTCCTGTGCTTGTTGCTGCCAATTCATACCCGCATACTTCTTAATCTCGTCTGCCCACCTAACCTTCTGTCTCCCCCTAACCCGCTTGCCTTCTCTGGGAATCCAGTTAGTTACCCTTAATGACCAGCAGTTATCCTGTCTACGCGCTACATGCCCGGTCCATGTCCATTTCTTCTTCTTGATTTCAAATATGATATCCTTAACCCCCGTTTGTTCCCTAACCCACTCTGCTCTCTTCTTGACTTTTAAGGTTACACCTACCATTTTTCTTTCCATTGCTCGCTGCGTCGTCCTCAATTTAAGCTGAACCCTCTTTGTAGATCTCCAGGTTTATGCTCCGTTGCTAAGTACCGGCAAGATACAGCTGTTATGTACCTTCCTCTTGAGGGATAGTGGCAATCTACCTGTCATAATTTGAGAGTGCTTGCCAAATGTGCTCCACCCCATTCTTATTCTTCTAGTTACTTCAATCTCATGGTTCGGCTCCGCGGTTATTCACTTGCCCTAACTAGACATAGTCTTTTACAATTTGAAGTGCACTATTACCTATCTCGAAGCGCTGCTCTCTTCCGATGTTGTTATACATTACTTTCGTTTTCTGCAGATTAATTTTAAGACCCACCTTTCTGCTCTCCTTGTCTAACTCCATAATCATGAGTTGCAATTTGTTCCATGAGTTACTCAGCAATGCAATGTCATCGGTGAAGCGCAGGTCACTTAAGTACTCTCCATTAACTCTTATACCTAACTGTTCCCATTCTAGGCTTATGAAAACCACCTGTAAGCACGCGGTAAATAACATTGGGGAAATTGTGTCTCCCTGCCTTACATGTGTCTCCCTGCCTTACACCCTTCTTGATTGGTAATCTGTTGGTTTCTTTATGAAGCACTATTGTAGCAGTTGATCCCCTGTAGATTTCTTCCAGGATGTTTATATATACTTCATCGACGCCCTGATTACGCAGTGTCTGCATGACGGCTGATATTTCTACTGAATCAAACCCCTTCTCGTAGTATATGAAGGCTATGTATAGTGGTTGGTTATATTCTTAGCATTTTTCTATTACCTAATTGATAGTATGAATGTGGTCGATTGTTGAGTAGCCTGTTCAAAATACTGCTTGTTCCTTTGGTTGATTGAATTCAATTGTTTTCTTTACTCTGTTAGCGATTACCTTTGTAAATAGTTTGTATACTACAGAGAGCAAGCTGATCGACCTGTAATTCTTCAAGTCCTTGTTATCTTCTTTCTTATGTATTAAGATGATATTAGCATTCTTCCAAGACTTTGGTACTCTTCCCGTCAGGAGACACCTCGTAAATAGGGTGGCTAGTTTTGCTAACACAATCTGTCCTCCATACTGTTCAAACCTAAGAGAATAGATAACGCACAGTATTTCGTTTCACAACACCTTTCAAAGAAACCTGAGGTGTGTAGGTGTTAACTTATCAGTATTTAGTTGATCACCAAGAAAATGGAGCCAGCAACGCAAATGAGAAATGATAGATCAGTTCAGTTCTTGGTTTAGTGGACCCTTACGTTAAAAATTAGTTACATATGTGCCTTCTGATAGAAACTTACGACAATTTAAAGCTCGTGCTGCTTTTATGTGGATGTAAACACATTGTTTTCTAATTTCCGGAAAAAAATGTTTTTTCTTCTAACTTTAAAACAGTTTTCGCTCAAAGATTGGTTCCCCTCTCCCTCTGATGCTCTTTCTTACGAATCAATATTTCTCACAACCTCATGCAAGCTGTACGATGTCCGGATCATCACTTTTAGATAATTTTCATATCGCTTTTTAATTATGTCGCTAAGAGCGCATCCCACTGTGTAAAATGAGAACCTTGAAACATACATGAAAATAGGCACAAGTTTTACTTTTAGTCTTTCTAACAATACGATGTTTAACCTTACCGGTATTGACGCGAGCTCAATTTGAACCAATTTTACATACTGTAGCTTGCGCTACCACAACCACAATCGCTTTCAATAATAATGCGAATGAACAGCACGAAAACAGGACGGCGAAGGAGTAACAGACAGGACAAGAGCTGTTCACTTGCAGTATCACGTACCAAGTGGCCCTTATAATATCTTCTGCTTCATATATTGTCCACTTTTATGTCCCGTACAACGTGTTAGGCTCAGGTCGGCATATATTCAGTCGAATGAGGTTTCATGACCACTTAAGTATGCCAGCAGAGCTTGAATCTATAGACTGTCTTATTTGATAAAGCAGTGCGTGTACACATAAAGATATTTGTACTCTAGCAGCCTTGGCCCTTGGCATTTGCTAATGATATATGTTAAGCAACAGGATTGGAAGAAACTCCATAGAGAAACATTCCAGTCTAAAAAGTCTTGTTGCATACGGGTCCAGGTTACCGCGAAGATTTTTCACGCATATCACACGTACCTTTGATGTTTGTCAGCCAATATTTTATGCTCGGCCACTCTGAACTCATTCACTTCTGATGAAACTAGAGAAAAAGTATATATATCATACAAACAGTAGCCCAGTACGAGTTACTGGCTTCTTGACTCAATGTGAAATGGTCACAGGTGACACTTTGGCATCAAATACACAGCACTCGAGACAAGACACCCGTTTTTCGCCAGCAAAAATCACAGAGTTCAGTCAGAAGTTCAATAACTTTCAGGTGCACAAAAAGAAAGAATAGACTAAATTTCTCAAAGAATCTTGCCATTGACCACAGATTTCTTCGTTACGCGCACCTTCTTCGCCCGGTAGGTTTTGACGTAGAAGTTCATAAACAGGCTGAAGAAGAAAATAGCTTCTGCCATGGAAACGTACGTGTGCACCCTAGGGTAGTTGCAGTTGAAGAAGAGCGGCATCAGATGTGCACAAAGAGAACCACGAACTGCGTAAGTTGCAGCAGCGTAATGTAGCGCTTCCACCACAAGTACTTCTGCATCGGGGGTCCCAGAGAGCTGAGAAAGTAGTACGTGTACATCACCACGTGCACGAACGCGTTTACCATGACGCAGGCTATCCCCTGGCCTTCCGCACCGTGAACTATTCCGAACCACCCATTGAAGACGACCACACTGTGATGCACGACGTGCAGCAAGGACACGTGCGAATCCTTCTTGCGCAGCACGAAGAAGATAGGTGTCCAGAAAGTCGAGTATCCTGAACATCGAGTACGACCAACCAAGACTTAGTAGAGCCATGGAGTCTTCGTCCCGGGCGTTGAAGTCTATGCCCTGGCAGATGGGACTGTATCCTTTGCGGATGTACGCGGCCGTGAAGAAGGCGTAGACGTAGTAAGCATTGCCAACCACCATGAAGGCGTTGTAGAGGATGATGAGTGGCTTGATCCCGTCGTACGGCTTGCGGTTCTTCATGAAACGCGGGCCACCCACTTTAACGATGTAGACGTAGGAGACGATCAGGAGCGTTATCAGCGTCTTGTTGCCCAAAAAGTACCAATGAGCTGTACGTGGGTCCTGCGGCTGGTAGAAGGGAAAGCCGCTGTTGGCCGTCATCGATGCCGTCGCCATCGTGGTTCTGCTGTACAGAGACGAATGTCCCTATCAGCTTGTGGCCATTAAATCTTCTACACGCCGAGCGACGCACGAGCTGGCACTTTTATAGCCTCTGCGCGGAGCCAAAACACTTCGTTAATGAGTCCGCGTCAGAAAATGTCGGGATCATTTTGAAGGTCTCGCACGTCAGTGGCATGAACGCTGAAGAAAGCGACCACATACAGAAAATTAGGAACAAGACGTCCTCTACTCTTGGAGCATGTAGCCCAGCCCTGTTGCCCGAGGTGCAGCTAATGCAGCCTTCTCGATATAGGATATATTGGTACAGCGAAGCCGCCCGGCGTGGGACCCTCACTTGTGAGACTGGCGAACTGTAAGATTTGACGCGGCGTTTGTGCAACATCCTTGTTTTGCTATGAGGAAGAACGAAGCGATCCTATTCATGACGTACCATAAATATTATTAGCCACTTTGGAATAGCCGGAAAACTAACTCTCTCACTTCCTTTTGGGAGCTAGCACCTATGAACATCATTAAGGCAGCAACATAGACTGCTGTCTTTTTTTTGAGGTTTCTGATTTCGCAATGTTTATTCAACTCTAAACGATTTAGAACTAAGTAATTTTGCAAGACTATGGTCGTCGTACAAGGTGCATGTTCACGCTCCCGATAGACATACACTCCTCAGCCTTGCCATCCTATAGTATGCTTCACTGCATTAGATGTGGAATGCTAAACAGCTTCAGGAAGACCGTTGAATTGCAACTGCAATGACCACCCAACGGGCAGCTGCGTTAAATGATGTATTTTCTTTTTGCATTAGTGCACCATTCATGTTACAATTCTTGCGTACATCCGCACATCCACACTGAATGTACGCATTATGATGCACACATATTAAACGTCGAAGTAATTATCATTTATATTAATCAGAACAGGCCGCTGCATACAAGCTGGCGTGCCATATTATTCGAGTGATTTATTCGCAAAATCAAGGTGACGGAAATAGTGAAATGTTTTTTTTTCTTATTGCTATACAAAGCCACTCAATAAGTTGTCATTAGATAACAGTGTTCAGAAAACTTACGCAGCCGCCTATCAGCTTCGCTGGCCTATGCAAATCACACGAGGATAGCATTCAAGAACAACTGCAGAAAGTAAATAGCAACGAACGCAATAAAACCTGAACAGGAAATGAGTGCTTGTTACGCCAAGCCAAGCTTCCCTATAGGACTTACTCAGCGGCAAACTAAGAAAAGCCCCTCCCTTTAACAAGGAAGTTCTCTCTGTGTTAAGGCCACGCTGTATCAATCTTGAAAGTTTACTTTTTGGGGGCACTGCCACTACAGAATGTCTTGGTTCTTTTGTTTTGAAGTAAAGCCTCACTCTAGTCGTTAGACTATAGTTTCTATCGGTAAAAGCGATTTCTTTCACTGGTGTGTGTGTGTGTGTGTGTGTGTGTGTGTGTGTGTGTGTGTGTGTGTGTGTGTGTGTGTGTGTGTGTGTGTGTGTGTGTGTGAGCACATACTCATGCGTGAGGCCGTGTGCGTGTGTTTGTGTGTACATGCGTGTGTGTTTGTGCATGCGTGTGTTTGTGTGTGTGCGTGTGTGTGTAATGCGCAAGCGTCTTCATGCTCCTTTAAGACTATATCGGTGTTCCCTCGTTAGGCGTATGAGTGGTTCGGGGCGTGAGAATGCTGCTCATTTCATACCAGGCTCACTTACAGGGTTTACGAACAGAGCATCGGCAGCGCAAACGTTAAATCCCTTTACGTAAAAATTCACGGCTACGATGACGATGGAGTTCATCATGTAAGTATTCACCGCTACGATGATATTGCATTGCCTTATGGTAATATTCGCTACTACAATACCAGTGAAGGTCGTCAGGTAAATATTTTACTCTACGATGATGATAAAGTTTATTGTGGTTACTTCTTTGCTTATTTAACCCAAGAATATACGATCTAGAAACACAGCATCAAGAATACCGCTGTCCCTCCTCAAGAGAATATGCGCCTACGTGCCAGTGAGTTGTGTAGCCATGCCTAGATGACGTCAGAGTGCTTTCTAATGTTACGATAGTCGACTTCCCCATAAATATAGAGGTTTGTGTAAATGTTAAACTGCACGTTCTGGAAAATTTTACGGAAGACTCTGATATTGTTACTCGGTCAAAAACGGTTATTTCATATAGAAACCTAGAACTTTCATATTCGAACGAAGCAAGTGTGCTAATTAGCGTAGCGAGAACACTTTGGATTTAACAGATATTTTATTGCCACTGCTCTCTTACGAATTCCCAGTGCAGGTGGAGCGTTGATGTTTCGGTGCAGGTGCATGTAGTACAGAATTTTAATTTTGTGACCAATTAAAACGATCAATAAGAATACTTAAACTGCCATAAAGAACGTACTAAAATTTGGTACCATTACTGCTAATTTCCAATGGTCATTTGCGAAGAATTTAATGTGGATCAGCTTTTATACGGTAAGAAAAACAAGTATGGTTCAGGGAATAAGTCAGCATAGGTTGCAGGTGTAGTTGATTTATGTGCAAAAAATATGGTGATTCAACGTTTTCCCGACGGCCGGCGTTCATGAGTGCAAAGTACTTGACAATCGCGAATCACTTCGGCGAAAAGCCGCAAGGCGGTGGTAAGACAATCCACCTGTTTATGGCACTAACCTACATGGGAAACCCAGCACAAATTTCGTGGAAATAAAACTAAGAAATAAAACTGACAGTTGAGCCCAAGACCAGCGATTTTGCGCGAGAACATTGCAGGCCGAAGGCGAATGAATGAACTAAGGCGACTTGAAGGTGAAATTCCACTTTATCTTTCCTCTCAGTCGATCCTTTTCAGCCACACATTCGAAATCTTTCTGCAGCTTACGGCCTCCGATATCAGCCCACCTGCGCAGTCAAGAGACGGTGTCACACGAATTTTTTGTTCTCGGCTGCTGACCCGTAGGTACTCGGCTGCTGACCCGCAGATCGCGGCATCGAACCCCGGCTGCGGCGGCTGCATTTCCGATGGAGGCGGAAATGTTGTAGGCCCGTGTGCTCAGATTTGGGTGCACGATAAAGAACACCAGGTGGTCGAAATTTCCGGAGCCCTCCACTACGGCGTCTCTCATAATCATATGGTGGTTTTGGGACGTTAAACCCCACATATCAATCAATCATCAGTCGTTCCTTTGGCAAGATGGCGGCTGTGGCGACCATCTTACCAGGGGCATGATAAAGTGTAATCAGTTAGCGATGAAAAACGAAGCGTTTCCCTCACACGCCCAACGTGTTTAATGTGTGAACTTCATCGGGTCACATAGTGCTTCAAGTGCGTTTTACAGTTACTACTTTTCCTTAGTGAGCCTCTAATCGGAGGCATAGTTCTTTGAAGATTCAGTCACCCATACTCGTTTTTGTGTGTTGTTTCGTCGAGAACAACTTTCTTTTAATAAAAAACTAACGTAGAATTTACATAACATATCAAAGCCACTTCATCTTCAAGTGGGCACTATCTGAAAAGAGCATGTTTCCGACATCTTGGCAGTGGCAAAAGGTGGCTTCACTTCGGCTGGCAAGGCATTGCGAGAGCTTCGACTCCAGCACTTTTTCTTTAATCCTCCTTGGGGGCAACCTTAGCATCTGCACTGTACTATAATAATGTTGTACTCTCTCACTCCTGTCACGTAATTACCTCATCATGTGACGTCACAATAACATCATCAGTCAATATATATATATATATAAGGGAAAGAAGTGCATACCTAAAGGCTCTTTTTCACGAGTTTTGACACAATATTAATAACATCTAACACACAATAATGCCAAGGAATGTATAAAGAAGTTATTACAACCAATGTTATGTAAACAAGAGGAAAGAAAAGTGGGTGAGAAAATAACTTGCCATGAGCGGGAATTGAACCTACGACCTTCGAATAACGCGTTCGATGCTCTAACCACTGAGCTACCATGACGGCTATCCCCCAGCCACTTTATTGGATTTATATGGTAATTTAAACGTGCAAGTGTCAGTCGGCGCCATTTGTAGCCATAGAGGCGAGTGTGGAACACTCTTCTATGAGCCTGTGTGGCGTCACGTAGGACGTGAACTCATTACGAGTGGGCAGCTGACTAATAGTCCCTCGTATACAACCTAACGGCACCAAGTCTGCCAGTACGAGACCCTCGTTAATAAATAAGGGAAAGAAGTGTATACCTAAGGGCTCGTTTTTCCATGTTTTGACACATTATAATAATATCTAACAGACAATAATACCAAGGAATGTATAGGGGAAGTTATTAGAACTAATGTAATGTAAATAAGAAGAAAGAAAAGTGGGTGAAAAAATAACTTGCCGTGAGCAGGAGCAGGTTATTGAGCAGGTTATTCAAGGTCGTAGGTTCGATTCCTGTTCACGGCAAGCTATTTTTTCACCCACTTTTCTTTCTTCTTATTTAGATTACATTGGCTCTAATAACTTCCCCTATACATTGCTTGGCATTATTGTCTGTTAGATCTTAAATATGTATATATATATATAGTCCAGTAGATCCTCCGTGAGCGGTCACAACGTGGTTTATTTCGACGTTTCGGCCTAGAGTCTGGCCTTCATCGCGATATATATATATATATATATATATACATATATATGTATGCATCACTTCTGCCGACTTCACCGAAGCCAACGGCCATTATTCGTATTTGAAGAGGCATCGCCCTTAATAAATACAGCCAAAAAGTTCTACAATGAGCCTTCCACATTCGGAATTCAGAAGTGTCGAAGACCTATTGGAAGGCCTTGGTAGAAAAACGAGGTAAATCAGATGTAAGCTGACTGGCTTTGTTTGGTGTCATTGTGGGGCAAGTCGCTGATCGTTTCGTTTTCACGCCATTTTTTCTTGGTCTTTTGAAGCTTCCCTTCTGGCTATCCCAGATGGTAAAGTGGTCGCCCCGGCGTTGGTGTCCGGCACTCTTCTTGGGCACGAATACTTGAACGGAAGGAATT